TAACAATTACAGAATTAAAATTAATTAAGAAGAAATATTTAAATATAGTCTAATTAAAATATGATTAAAACCCCTCTAAAAATTGCCCTAGGCCAGTCCCGCTTGTTGGAATAGCCATGTCTTAAGGGCGCGGCGGAAGGAAGGGAGATCAGGGATCACCCTGATCTCTGGGGGCAGCTCATTCCAGAGGGTGGGAGCTTCCACAGAGAAGGCCCTCCCCCTTGGGGTCGCCAGCCGGCACTGTCTGGCCGACGGCACCCTGAGGAGACCCACCCTGAGGAGACCCACCCATGTCAACTGAGAATCCAATCTCGTATATGTATAAAATTAGCTTTTCATCCTGGTAGGTATGCATAAGCTTGGAGCCTATACGCATTAAAGAAGCTATACAGCATAGCCATAAATTAAGGACAATAATATTTTCAGAGCAAAAACACAATGCCTATCTCAAAGGCTCTTCATATAACTTTTCACCCGTAAATGTTCCTAGCAATTTTTAGTAGACTGACCCACTTGTTTCTTTAAATAACTGATGTCATATGCCAAATCTACAGTGTTTGTGACCCATCCGATACCACACATATTCACATGGAATTTAATTGGAATATTACCACTGCAGGCACAGAGGAAAGTATACTAATGATAGCTAACATCCATCTCTGGCACACATGCAATTGGCGTAATTTAAATTCTTAAGACAAGTGGCTGTAGCTGGCAAATTTTGTGTTTGTTCAGACTAGATAGTACCTGTTTGATGGATCAAAGGAGAACACCAGAACAGCATGACAAAAATGTGCACTATCACAATATCCTGGAAGAGGATAAAACCAAACTACTTCCATATGTATCAGGTGCAAGAAGTCAGGGACCAGGATGTTCAAAAATACAGGACTACAAGTTTATCTCATACTACCTATTTACAAGAATCTGAACTACTAATGATCAAGGCAAGTTGGTACCAGATAAGAGTCAACAGACTTCAAGGGGGGGGGGGGCTGGACTTATGTCTCTTATGGGGCGTAGAGATTCCAAACCAATGAGGCACTTTACCCTGCCCTCAAATTCAGCCTGGTCATCTCTTACATATGGGTATAAAGAAAAATGATGCGGACATCTCTATGAAGTCACCAGAAATCAAATTTGACCTGAGGGCACCTTTACTTTTGAAGAATAGAATCTAACTTTAATAAAGGCAGTCCTTGTCATTTGTAGTCTCATTTTGCATATCCAGATTTTGTACATGCGTAAACATTTTGTTTATCCATAGTTTGGGGTGTGGTTTTTTTTTTGTTACTCTTTGTGCCAAATTTTATATTTATTTATTCTTAAGGATTAAGGCTAGGTTACTTATACCTGTATTTCTTTCTCTTTTGGTCATGATAGCTTATGCTAGCCTAGTTATGAGCTAAGCAATCTGTGGCCAGCACAAGCGACCCATAGAGTGATCAAGAGTCTCCTTCAAGAGAAGGAGCAGAGAAGCCATATGAGCCAATCAAGATGAAGGAGGCCAGGAGCTACAACAAAGTCATGCAGAGCCTCACCCAGTGAGATCCATTGTGAGCATAAAGGAGATGATATCTTGCAGACAACAGCTACAGGAAGACCTAAACTCCTAATTCCAAAAGGCACAAAATCTCATTACAGGCAGTCCTCAACTTAGCAGAGCTACAATTACAGGTAGTCCTTGACTTATGACTACAACTGAACCCAAAATTTCTGTTGCTAAGCGAGACAGTTGCTCAGTGAGTTTTGCCCCATCTTACAATTTTTCTTGCTACAGTTGTGAAGTGAATCATTGCAGTTGTTGAGTTAATAACATGGCTCTTAAGTGAATCTGGTTTTCCCAATGATTTTGCTTGTCAGAAGGTCGCAAAAAGTGATCACATGACCCTGGGACACTGCGACCATCATAAATATGAGTCAGCTGCCAAGCATCTGAATTTGGATCATGTGACCATGGAGATGCTGCAACGGTCACAAGTGTGAAAAATGACCATTAGTCTTTTTATTTTCAGTTCTGCTGTAACTTTGAATGGTCACTAAATGAACGGTTGCAAGTCAAGTTTTGTTATCTGTAGCAGTGGTCCCCAACCTTTCTGGCTTGGTAGCTTGGCCTGGCGCGGGGTGGGGTGGGGGGAGGAATGTGTTGCAGGCGTGCGTGCAGAGTTCCATTTGTGCAAGTCGTGCTTGCTTGCTCTCCACTCGTGCGAATGGAGCTTCGCGCACGAGTGAAGTGCTTGTGCAAGAAGCTCCACTCGCATAAGCGGCAGGCACTTGCATGCGAAGCTCCACTCATTTGAGCAGAGGGTGCTTGCGCGTGAAGCTACATTTGCACGAATGGAGCTTTGTGCGCGAGCACAAGTGCCCTCCCTTGCGCAAGTGGAGCTTTGCACAAGGGCACGCTTGCCCACCACTCGTGAGAGTAGAACTTTATGTGCATGCGCTTGCCCATCTCTCCCGCCGCCTGTTTCAAACACACGGCAGTCTAGTAGTGGGCTGTTGGACCAGGGGTTGGGGACCCCTGATCTATAGTTTTATGCTGGACTGGTATGCCCACGGAAAATAAGAATAGAATTGCAGCCATCTATCTATCTTGTGCAATGTTTGTTAAATGCTAAACATCTTCTGCATGATTCAATTTTTAAGGTAGCACCTATTTGATTTCTCTTTCTTTGAATATGATTTCTATTACATGGAAGACAAAGAAGAATCCAAGTTGTGCATAGGAGATAGGATATAAACATCTATTACTAATCTAGAGAATTCACAGAATTATTAGAGGACAGTTCCATAGTTCCTTTTTGTTAAGTGCTTAGAAGACATTTTTAGCTCTCTAGTGGGTGATAATTTCCAAGGCAACACAAAAGAGGACTATTTTTGACTTGATGCTTGCTGACAAGAAAGAAAGTGTTAACAGTCTGGCTTAAAAGAAGAGGGGATTTTAAGGCCAAAGAAATGGTTCGGTTATCTGAGTGAAGGAGGGGAACCTCTTAATATACTCTTGAGATGATGGCATTCCAAACTTAAAAAGACTTCTGGCTATGGCTCTGCCA